TACTGATTTTTACAAGGAACTCTCATCACACATATTCCAGACTCCTATCTGAAATTAATGTTATTTGACCAAGGTTTGATATGGTTTTGAAGCCTTGTTGTGCAGCAGTCTGCAGAATTCTGTGCAGAATTGCCTGGAATAAGGTTGCAACTGAAATCACCCACTTATCCTTGCGCAAACAAGCTGATTATAAAAGGGGACTCCCATCACACATATTCACATATTCCAGACTCCACTCTGAAACGCATCTTATTTGCCCAAGGTTTGATATGGTTTTGAAGCCTTGTTGTGCAGCAATCTGCAGACTTATGAGCAGAATTGCCTGGAATCAGGTTGCAACTGAAATCACCAATTTATCGTTGCGCAAATAAGCTAATTTTTAAAAAAGCCCCCATCACACATATTACAGACTCCCCTCTGAAAGTCATCGTATTTGCCCAAGGTTTGATATGGTTTTGAAGCCTTGTTGTGCAGCAGTCTGAAGAATTCTGTGCACAATTGCATGGAATCAGGTTGCAACTGAAATCACCCACTTTTCCTTGAGACAATAAGCTGATTTTAAAAGAGGACTCTTATCACACATATTCCAGACGCCCCTCGGAAATTCACCTCATTTGCCCAAGGTTTGATATGGTTTTGAAGCCTTGCTGTGCAGCAGTCTGCAGACTTCTGTGCAGAATTTCCTGGAATCGGGTTGCAACTGAAATCACCCACTTATCCTCGCGACAATAAGCTGATTTTTACAGGGAGAATCTCATCACACATATTCCAGACTCCCATCTGAAATTCATGTTATTTGACCAAGGTTTGATATGGTTTTGAAACCTTGTTGTGCAGCAGTCTGCAGAATTCTGTGCAGAATTGCCTGGAATCAGGTTGCAACTGAAATCACCCACTTATCCTTGCGCAAACAAGCTGATTATAAAAGGGGACTCCCATCACACATATTCACATATTCCAGACTCCACTCTGAAATGCATCTTAGTTGCCCAAGGTTTTATATGGTTTTGAAGCCTTGTTGTGCAGCAATCTGCAGACTTCTGAGCAGAATTGCCTGGAATCAGGTTGCAACTGAAATCACCATCTAATCCGTGAGCAAATAATCTGATTTTTATAGGGGACTCTCACCACAAATACTCCAGACTCCCCTCGGAAATTTATCGTATTTGCCCAAGGTTTGATATGGTTTTGAAGCCTTGTTGTGCAGTAGTCTGCAGACTTCTGTGCAGAATTGCCTAGAATCGTGTTGCAACTGAAATCACCCACTTATTCTTGCGACAAAATCCTGATTTTTATAGGGGACTCTCATCACACATATTTCAGACTCCCATCTGAAATTCATGTTATTTTCCCAAGGTGTGATATGGTTTTGAAGCATTGTTGTGCAGCAGTCTGCAGACTTCTGTGCAGAATTGCCCGGAATCAGGTTGCAACTGAAATCACCCACTTATCCTAAAGCAAATACACTGAGTTTTTGAAGGGACTCTCATCACACATATTTCAGACTTTCCTCTGATATTCATCTTATTTACCCAAGGTTTGATATGGTTTTGAAGCCTTGTTGTGCAGCAGTCTGCGGACTTCAGGGCAGAATTTTCTGGAATCAGGTTGCAACTAAAATCACCCACTTATCATAGAGACAATGAGCTGATTAAAATAGGGGACTCTCATCACAAATATGTTAGACGCCTCTCTGAAATTCATCTTATTTTACCAAGGTGTAATATGGTTTTGAAGCCTTGCAGACTGCTGCACAACAAGGCTTCAAAACCATATCAAACCTTGGGCAAATACGATGACTTTCAGAGGGGAGTCTGTAATATGTGTGATGGGGGCTTTTTTAAAAATTAGCTTATTTGCGCAAGGATAAATTGGTGATTTCAGTTGCAACCTGATTCCAGGCAATTCTGCTCAGAAGTCTGCAGATTGCTGCACAACAAGGCTTCAAAACCATATCAAACCTTGGGCAAATAAGATGCGTTTCAGAGTGGAGTCTGGAATATGTGAATATGTGTGATGGGAGTCCCCTTATATAATCAGCTTGTTTGCGCAAGGATAAGTGGGTGATTTTAGTTGCAACCTGATTCCAGGCAATTCTGCACAGAATTCTGCAGACTGCTGCACAACAAGGCTTCAAAACCATATCAAACCTTGGTCAAATAACATTAATTTCAGATAGGAGTCTGGAATATGTGTGATGAGAGTTCCCTGTAAAAATCAGTATATTGTCGCGAGGATAAGTGGGTGATTTCAGTTGCAACCCGATTCCAGGAAATTCTGCACAGAAGTCTGCAGACTGCTGCACAACAAGGCTTCAAAACCATATCAAACCTTGGGCAAATGAGGTGAATTTCCGAGGGGCGTCTGGAATATGTGTGATGAGAGTCCTCTTTTAAAATCAGCTTATTGTCTCAAGGACAAGTGGGTGATTTCAGTTGCAACCTGATTCCATACAATTCTGCACTGAATTCTGCAGACTGCTGCACAACAAGGCTTCAAAACCATATCAAACCTTGGGCAAATACGATGACTTTCAGAGGGGAGTCTGTAATATGTGTGATGGGGGCTTTTTTTAAAATCAGCTTATTTGCGCAAGGATAAATTGGTGATTTCAGTTGCAACCTGATTCCAGGCAATTCTGTTCAGAAGTTTGCAGATTGCTGCACAACAAGGCTTCAAAACCATATCAAACCTTGGGCAAATAAGATGCATTTCAGAGTGGAGTCTGGAATATGTGAATATGTGTGATGGGAGTCCCCTTTAAAAATCAGCTTGTTTGCGCAAGGATAAGTGGGTGATTTCAGTTGCAACCTGATTCCAGGCAATTGTGCACAGAATTCTGCAGACTGCTGCACAACAAGGCTTCAAAACCATATCAAACCTTGGTTAAATAACATTAATTTCAGACAGGAGTCTGGAATATGTGTGATGAGAGTTCCCTGTAAAAATCAGCTTATTGTCGCGAGGATAAGTGGGTGATTTCAGTTGCAACCCGATTCCAGGAAATTCTGCACTGAAGTCTGCAGACTGCTGCACAACAAGGCTTCAAAACCATATCAAACCTTGGGCAAATGAGGTGAATTTCTGAGGGGCGTCTGGAATATGTGTGATGAGAGTCCTCTTCAAAAATCAGCTCATTGTCTCAAGGACAAGTGGGTGATTTCAGTTGCAACCTGATTCCATGCAATTCTGCACAGAATTCTGCAGACTGCTGCACAACAAGGCTTCAAAACCATATCAAACCTTGGGCAAATACAATGAATTTCAGAGGGGAGTCTGTAATATGTGTGATGAGAGCCCCCTTTTAAAATCAGCTTATTTGCGCAAGGATAAGTTGGTGATTTCAGTTGCAACCTGATTCAAGGCAATTCTGCACAGAATTCTGCAGACTGCTGCACAACAAGGCTTCAAAACCATATCAAACCTTGGGCAAATAAGATGAAATTCAGAGGGGAGTCTGGAATATTTTTTATGAGAGTCCCCTTAAAAAATCAGCTTATTGTCTCAAGTATAAGTTTGTGATTTCAGTTGCAACCTGATTCCAGGAAATTCTGCACAGAAGTCTGCAGACTGCTGCACAACAAGGCTTCAAAACCATATCTAACCTTGGGCAAATGAGGTGAACTTCAGAGGGAGTCTGGAATATTTGTGATGAGTGTTCCCTATGAAAATCAGATCATTTGCCCAAGGCAAAGTGGTTGATTTCACAAGAAACATGGTTCCAGGCATTTCTGCACAGAATTCTGCACCCGCCTGCGGAATATAACATGAAAAGCATGGCAAACCTTGATGAAATGAAGTGAAAACTGGATGGGGATCAGGACTAGGTGTGATGACAGTGCCCTATCAAAATGGGCTCATTTTCTCAAGGAGAAGTGGGTGATTTCACCTGACACATCACACCAGGCAACTCAGCACTAACTTCTTTGCAAGAAAAAGTCCACCAAATCAGTTTGCATAGGTCTGAAAATGTTAAGGGGGGCTGGAACAGGTGTCATAACACTGACAATGCAAAAAAATATGGTCACCACATAACACATGTGTGTGATGCCCAGAGAATGACTTTACATGTGCTGTGGGCAACCTTAGTTGACCCAAGAGTGACAAAATGTAACAAATTTGACAAAATAACAAACTCACGCCCGCTGGTAGAGGACATCAAGGAGATGCTGGAAATCCATATTTGTGTGCAAATGACCAACAAATTATGGAGTTATGAGCCAAACCATATAGAATTTTGACTTAGCCATTTTGACATTCTGCTTGTCAGAATTACACCAAAGTGTCAACAACAAAGTTTACATATAAATGCTGTAGAACAGTGGTTGCGACGTCGCTTTCGTGCGACCGTCGATAATCCAAACCGGTAGTGTAACCACTCTTGCGCCCATTTCGTTGCTCCGTCAGGTGGTCTGGATTTTGGAATGTCCAACCCCCTTTTGCGCCGAATCCGAGTCAAATCCGTCTCGCCACGGGCAAAATGGAGTTTCGCAAAAAAAAAATGAATCCCGGTCGAAGCAGAGGATCCGAGTGCTGCTTCCGCCTTTGGCCCGCCCTTCCCCCGTCAGGTGGTTTGGATTTCTAGGGACGACGACAGTGTCCCTGGCTGGACTGTGATTCTTGTGCGGGTCTGCTTGGGCTGGCCCTGGCAGGCGAACGCCACCCCACCACACCACCACAGCAGGCCTGGCGGTCTTGTAAATGACCCGTGTATAAGCACATGCATTTCAGTCTATTCTGATATAATCGTTGAAGTCAAGACACCTTGACAGTTAATACATAAGTATATAGTTCAAATCAGACTGATGCTGGTTGCTATAATGTATCAGTAACAATCTTCGAGCTAGTATCTGAATCTAAGAGAACATTGCAGTTATTTATTTGAAACGTGTCTGTGAACTTAACTCCTCTGCATCGGTACCATAAGGTACTATCAAGCAAAGCAATATATTTCTTAGGTTACAGTTGCCAACTTTCATAGGAACGCCAGGGCATGTCCGCTATGCCTTGATGCCAACAAATGTGCGCTCGAAGACCGAGTTAGCCATAAGCCACACACACTCAGCATAACGGAAGGAAACAGGAAGAGCATCGGTCAGCTGCTGCGTCAATAACTCCTTGTCCCTGGAAAAGTGGAGGGGACAGGGAAAGATTGAATTTAGGAGCTGAGTAAAACGAGGAAAAACAAACAAACAAACAAACAAAACAAAACAAAAAACAAACAATAATATCAACAAACAAACAAACAAACAAACAAACAAGCAAACAAGCAAACAAGAAAACACACAAAACAAGTATCAATAACTGCCCTGAAAAGTTTCCGCTCATTACACTCGTTCCCGCCACTTCATCTTCAAAGCAAACCCTTTTCAGTCGACTCAAATTACATTCCTCACCTGCCTCATCCCCGGCACTTCATGGTAACCACCAGTATTCCCCCTGAGGCCAGTACAGGCTGTTGAGACTCAAAGGCTGACCTTTGAGTCAATCCAAAAGTCAAGACTCAAATATGTTCCTCACCTGCCCCGCCCCCGGCACTTCATGGTGACCACCAGTATTCCCCCCGAGGCCAGCGCGGGCAGCAGCGGCGCCACGAGCGTTGCAGCCTGCAGGGGGTGCTTGTTGGCATCACAGAACAGACCATGGCACATGGCAGCTGCTGCACCACCACCATGCTCACTGCTCCCTGCTGACAGGGGCGCGGTGCCTGCGCAACTGCCAATGCCACTGCTGCTTGTGGCGATGCTGCTGCTGCTGCTTGCGGCTACGCTGGCGCTGGTGGTGTTGGTGGGTGCACCGGTCTTTGTCCCTGGTTCATGCACTCTGTTAGTATCACACCCATCACCACCAGTGGGGTGTGGTTGAGAAGAATCAGCTTGGCACGCCAGGGACCATGCTTGCACGTCATCCCACGCATCCTCCACCTGCTCATGCCACCACATGTGATACAGGCAGCACAGTACAATCAGAACGGAGTTTCGAGACTCCTTAAGAAGCACCACATGCCATACGGGTCAGCGCTGAACGTTTCTTGACACAAATCTCTGTTGTGGGTGAGAGAATGAGCTTCGCAGGCAGGCCAGGGACAATGCGTGCACGTCAACCCTTGCATCCTTCACATGCTCATGCCACATGTCACACGAGCAGCATCGAAATGCCCACCCCCTCCTCCCCATACGCTCACCATCTTCTTGATATGGGTGACATTCCCCTGGGCCGTGACAGCAGGTGAGGTGCCTTTTCTGGCGCATGATAAGAAGTCGTCCAAACCGAAGCACCTCAAACATTCACTATCGAGGACCCCCCAACAGCCCACAGCAAAGCCTCACCATCTTCTTGATATGGGTGACGTTTCCGCGTGCCGTGACAGCAGGCGAGAGGGCTGCAGGGTCGATGGCGAGCACGTGGCGTATCCTGGCGCTCAGATACTCCGTCCATGCCCCCGGTGCTGCCCCCACATCCATGGCTAGGAGGAGGGAGGAGGGAGGGACAGAGGGGGGGAGGGAGGGATGGATTGAGGGAGGGAGATAGGAAAGGGGTGCGAGAAGGGGGAGCGTTTGATTCAGGGTCGATGGCAAGCACATGGCGTATCCTGGCGCTCAGATACTCCGTCCATGCCCCCGGCGCTGCCCCCACGTCCATGGCTGCATGGAGGGAATGTGGGAGGGACAGCGGGAGGGAGGGAGGGAGAGAGGAAAGAGGTGCGAGCAGGGTAGAGGGCGGAGCGGTTGTTCTTGCGGGGTTGGTAGGTGCGCACATGGCGCACCCTAGTGCTCAGATACTCCGTCTATGCCCCCGGTGCCGCCCCCACGTCCATGGCTGCATGGAGGGTGCACAGAAGGGAGATAAGCGAGCGGGTTCGAGGGGAGCACATTTGTTTTTGCGACTCAAAGCGTAATGCTGCTGCTGCTGCATGCATCTCTCATACTTTCAACAGTTTTTCTTCCCCAATCTACCGCATGTCACGCCTTGGAATGTCATGCATGGCACACTTGAGAAATCAACACAGAAAATCTAGAAGTGGCTCAGAACGAAGCTGACTTTTGAATTGACTCAAAACACAATCCAGACATAGCTCAAGGCGGGACGCAGGGAACCAAGCAGTCATATCCCCCCTCACCTGTCATATCCCCCCTCACCTGTCATGTCATATCCCCCCTCACCTGTCATATCCCTCCTCACCTGTCATATCCCCCCTCGCCTGTCATATCCCCCCTCACCTGTCATATCCTTGTCCAATTTCCACCCCACCACGTGCAGCACCTCCTCCCGCTTGCTCACAGCACTGCTGGCACACCAACCAACCAAATAACAGACCCACTGCCATAGCCCCACTCACCTGTCATATCCGCTCTCAGCCGCCACCCCACCACGTGCAGCACCTCCTCCAGCTTGCTCACGGCACTGCTGGCACACCCGTCACTCCCCGCCTTGCGGTCGCTCGCCAGGCGCCACATGGAGCGCGCGGGGGAGAGCGAGAAGAAGATGCGTGGGTCGGGAGGGACGAGCGGGAGAGGCGTGCGGTCGCGGCGCGTGCGACGGGGCTGATCGTTAGGAGGAGAGGTTTCAAGGAGCTCAGAAGACGAAGTTTGATGGGGCTCAGAGCTTGAAGAGGAGGGGAGTTCTGAGCTTTGAACGGAATCCAAACGGAAGGTTTGAGACATGGAGGGTGGTGAGGAGAGTGAGGAGGAGGAGGGTGGTTGGGAGGGTGGCGGGGAGGTGGAAGGTGGGGGGTTGTGTGGAATGGTGGGATGCGCTGTGATGGTGGATGAGTGGGGAAATTCCTGTATGGATAGATCATAGAACACGGAAGAAGGAATATATAAGAGTCATTGGAGTGATCACTAATGCACAGTCACACACACACACACATGCAGAGTCATTAACGCACAGTCACTAACACAGCGCAATGAAATGCAACACAACGCAGCGCAATATAACCAACACAGCACAGGCACAGCCAACCAACCAACCTGCCTTGGTAGATAGGCGACTGATACCACTAGCTGCCTGCCCTCCCCCATCCTCTCCCCGTGCACCATTCTTCTCCTCACCTTTACTCCCCTCTCCAACCTCTCCCCCCTCATTTCCTCCCCCTCCCCCTCCCCCTCGCCATTCCCCTCCCCCTTGGCCTTCCCCCTTCCCCTCCCCGCCGTCGCTGCTGCAGCAGCATGGGGGCACGGGGGGAAGCAGGTCGAAGGGGGTAAGGGAAGGGGGTGCAGAGGGCTGGCGGGGGTGGAAGGGGAAGAAGTGGGGGGCGGTGGAAACCGCACTGAGGGTGTGGGTGAAGCGCTTGGGGTCGAGGGGGAGAGAGGGGGGTAGGTGTGTGGCTATCCATCGCTCAAAGTGCTTCGGGAAGGCCTGTACGCGGATGGACACACAGGGAGGAGGAGAGGCTTGAGTCTGTTCTCGCACCTTTCCCTCCTCCTCCTGCTGCTGCTCCTGCTGCTTCTCCTCCTCCTGCTGCTGCTCCTGCTGCTTCTCCTCCTCCTGCTGCTGCTCCTGCTGCTTCTCCTCCTCCTGCTGCTGCTCCTGTTGCTTCTCCTCCTGCTGCTGCTGCTGTTCCTGCTCCAGCCCCCGCTCCTGCTCTTCCTGCTTCTCCTCTCCCTTCTGGCCCTGCCCCTGCTCCGCCACCTGTGCTCTGCTCTCCTCCTCCTCACCTTCCTCCTCCTTCTGTGCACCACCACTCTCCCCTGTCTCCGCTGCTCCCCTCATTCCCCCCACGGCCTGCGCTTGCGCTTGTGCTTGGGTTTCCCCCCACTGTGCTACCGATCGCACCATCTGCCAGGGGCAGGACTCCACATGCTCGCACCAGTACATGCGATGAATGTACCTGCTCTCATGGGCCACGCCATCCCATCCCGTGCCATGCAATGTAATGCAATGCCATGCCATGCAATGCCATGTCATGCCATGCCATGCCATGCCACGCCATCCCATCCCGTGCCATGCAATGCCATGCCATGCAAAGCCATGCCATGCCATGCAATGCAACGCAATGCAACGCAATGCCATGCCATGCCATGCCATGCCATGCAATGCAATGCCATGACATGCCATGCAATGCAATGCAATGCAATGCCATGTCATCCCATGCCATGACATGCCATGCCATGCCATGCCATGCAATGTAATGTAATGCACTGCCATGCCATGCCATGCAATGCAACGCAATCAATGCCATGCCATGCCATGCCATGCCATGCCATGCCATGCCATGCAATGCAATGCCATGCCATGCCTTGCAATGCAATGCCATGCCATCCCATACCATGACATGCCATGCTATGCCATGCAATGGGTATGTGCCAAGAGCAGCGTATGCACGTTAGGTCAGGGCATCAGACGGCAGAGGAAAACAGAGAGGTCATGTGGTCAGGGTAGGGAATCAGGACCATAACGGCAGCATCTGGCACGTGAAGGCAGCAATAGGAACAGCAACAAAAAACAACAGCAGCAGCGGCAGCAGCAGCAACACTGCTAAGACAAGACACGTCACCTCACGCCACGTCATGCCATGCCATGCCACGTCACATCACGCCACTTCACGTCACCTCACGCCACGTCACCTGCTGAGGAAGGTGGAGTCGACGAGATTCGCCAACTCCCCCGGGGACAAGCGGCATCTGCGCAGCAGCACCAGCGCCGCCCCATGGTGGTCTGTGTGCGGCCCTAGCTCCTCCGCGCCCGCCACCGCCCCTGGGGGGAACAGCTGCGCGGCGGGTTGCGGGAAAGGGAGGGAGGGAGCGGGGAAGGGCGGAAGGGATGGGGGTGGGGAGGGAGGGGGTGGGGGGGAAGAGGGAATGTAGTAGAGAGTATAAGTAGGGGTAGAGGTTGGGCTGGTTGGGTGAGGGTAAGGGAGAGAGGGGGGAAAGAAGGGGAGGGGGGAGGGAGGGGAAAGAGGGCGGGGGGCTGTGTGCGAGAGTTGACGAGGGGAGAAACGAGGTTGAGGGTTTATGAGGGAACTGGACGCGAAGGAAAGAGAAAGGTTTTCGTGAGTCGCTGCAAAGATCTGTGAGTCGCGAACTGTTGCTAGACGAAGGATTATGTGTCACGAGTTAACAAACCGTCAGTCACTACTTGCTTAATTACAGCTCGTGACACATAATCCTTCGTCTAATTACAGCTGCTCCGGGGCATAAGACGGAAGGACACTGCGGACCATGACTCCTATAACGAGTTGGTTTGTTACTAGTTGCGAAAGCTCGGGGAAGTGGAGGGTGTGGCGCGTGTTTGTAACAATGCGAGCGCTCGTTACTAAGGCCCAAGAGATAATTTTGTTACGCTGCGACCAGATTGTATGCAACGACACCGCAAACGAACTTCGCAACCGCACTAACCACCGCAACCGGCAACAGTACTGCTGTTTAATACCACCAGTAATTTCCAGGCGCGTACTTTAAGCGTGGGCGACGTGGCGTAGAGGAACAGGCGGTGCGCGTAGGCCTGCGACCCCACCTGAATAATGACGTACATCTGCGGCTTAGTCGACGACTAGGTTACCTGACAGTGTACTAGGTGGTTCTAAGATTGACGACAGTGTGCGTTTAGAGCACTCAAAATAATCAACCAAGTGTGTCTGTGGGTGAGCTTGAAGCGAAGTTTTTAGGTTGCGAAGCGAAAAATTGCACTATCGAAGAAAAAGTACAATTAACGAAGGATTGAGCGATTGACGTTCGAAAATTGGGTCTAACTTTTGCTGGTAACCCGTTTCGTTATCCTAGCAAAAACATTCGCGAGGGAATCGTGTGTCCTGGTTCAAACTGTGTGAAGGAAGTTGGACACTACACTGAAGTCGACCAGCGTTCGGATTTTAGCGTTAACCTTTTTCCAATCGTGTGTTCGTTGACGCACGCCCGAAATTTTGCGAGGTTCACGACAATGACGAAGGAAAATATATAGGGTTACCAAATTCGGGTCCGGTCACGAACTTTACCACACAACCGGGTAACCTACAGAAGTCTAACGCGACTTGTAATTGTGAAGAAATTAGGAATGAATGCACTGGCAAACAGGAGGGTACAAGTAGGAAAACCTAAAAGTATTGTACCCCATATTGTCTGCCCCACTACAGCCTACACAGACTATAGCATATAAGTTTGACACACCCCCATAGGCAAAGTGGGGGAGAACAAGAGGTCACAAGACCAGTCAAGCAAAGCAAAGCAAGATCAGGGTGGATCACAACGTCACCACACAGTCCAAGCACAAGCTCAAGGCCACAAGGCCATTTCACATGCAAGATCATATAGAAAGGTAAACAAGCAAGTGCAGGTATAATAAAATCACAGTACAAGCAAGGTCAAGAAGTGAGCAAGTGAAGCCAAGTAGGCACAAGACCTAGCATCGTGCAGAAGCGCTGATGATCACAAGGCGGAAGTGCCTTGGTAAAGATATCAGCAGTGTTGGCCTCAGAGGCCACGTAAGCAAGGCGCAGCTGACCACGCTGCTGCAGCTCACGAGCAAGGAAGTAGCGAAGAGCAATGTGCTTCGTTCTGTGCTCCAGTCTTTGCTCCCGACACAAGGCCAGCATGGCCTTGTTGTCTACGTACAGAACTCGAGGAGAACGAGGCGGCTCTCCTAGGTCAGTCAGCAGGTAGGTGAGCCAGCGTAGCTCCTGTGCAGCCATGGCCCCCGCGTAGATCTCAGCCTCACAGCTGGAGCCGAGAACAGAAGACGAGCGAGTAGACCGCCACGAAACAGAGCCGGAGCCAAGGCTGAAGGTGTAACCCTGTGACGACCGCTGCGTAGCCTGGTCGTCAGCCCAAGAAGCGTCTGCGTGACATGTGAGGACCACTCGACGTCGCCCTCCAAGCACTAGCCCCATGCCCGACGTAGTGCACAGGTAGCGCAACACCCTCTTCGCTGCAGCCATGTGCTCTGGTCGGTGTCTCCCAGGAGCAACATAGCGTGCCAAGATGCTAAGAGGGTATGCTAGGTCAGGTCGTGTGCAGGTCATCACGTACATGAGGTAGCCAACAAGCCCTGGGTACGGGCCACTCGGCTCTACGGACTCATCCGAAGGCAGAGTTGAGAGCGAGTGGCGAGTAGACAGAGGAGTGGCCTGAGGCGAGGAGTACGTGAAGTCGAAGCGCTGAAGGACCTGCTGCACCATGTGTGACTGAGTCAGGGTAATGGTGCGCTGTGCTTTGTCCCGGGTGATCTGCAAGCCAAGGTAGCTGCGCAGTTCACCCAGGTCTGTGCACGTGTGTCTCTTCTACAGCTCGGACTTCATGTGGGCGAGTCCAGCAGTGTCAGCAGTGGCAAAGACCAAGTTGTCAACGTACACGAGGATGTAGAACGGTGGCAAAGAGGTGTCGGTGCGCAGAAACAGCGACGGGTCGGCTGTAGAAGGAGCAAACCCAAGAGCCGCAAGTGTAGTCCTCAGTGTGTCGTGCCACTCACGGGGCGCCTGGCGGAGACCGTAGACTGGCCGCCGGAGGCTCCACTGGTTACCAGGAGGAAAAGACCCAGTGAAGCCAGGTGAGCGGCGCAGCCAGATCTCCTCGTGCAGGCTGCCCTGCAGGAAAGCTGTGCTGAAGTCAAGAGAGTGAAGCTCGTAGTCGCGCTGAGCGGCTATGTGCAGCAGCACCCGAAGAGTGGTCATCTTCGGGGTGGGAGAGAAGGTCTGAAAGTAGTCAACTCCCTGCCGCTGACTGAAGCCTCGAGCCACGTAACGCGCCTTGAAGACAGGCGGAGAACCCGGCGGCCGCTTCACCCTGAAAATCCACATGCCACTGACGATGCTCGCCCCAGGTGGGGGAACCTCGTCGACGTAGGTGCCTGTGGACTTCCAGAAAGCCATCTCTGCGTCCATGGCTGACTGCCACTGAGAGGAGTAGGGACCCTCAATTGCCTCAGCGTACGATCGAGGAGTCGGGTTGTCTGGTGCATCCGTGTCTTCTTCAGGGGCAATTAGCGTGGACACGAGACGAGGCAAAGCAGCAGAAAAACACTGGACCTCCTTCTGCCTTTCCTCAAGGACGCCCGGGCTAAGAGCACACTCACCCCCGACGGACGGAGGACAGACAGACTCAGACTCAGCAACAAGACTAGCAGCGTAGTCTAGACGACAGTGAGCAGCAAAGTCGACAAGCTCAGTAACTAAGCCAGACGCAGTAGTGGACTCAAAGGAAGGGTCAGTGACAACAATAGCCAAGAGACGCGTGACAGTAGGACTGGCAGCACGACGAGAGTCAGACTCCGGGTCAGCAAGGACAGGAAGAGAGGACTCTGGAGGAGACGACAATGGGACACGCAGAGGAGCAGTGGAAGGATGTAGTGCCATCCGGTGTGTTCCGCGTCCTACTAGTGCGAGCAGCATGAACAGGCGACGCAGGACGAGACGCAGGCTCACGACGCTCAGCAAGACCTCCAGTAGGACCAGTGTAGGGAGAAGGAGCAGGCAGGGGGGAGGCGGGTTGTAACTGTGACTACGACTGGACAGGCTGTCGACACGCTAAGGGAGGAGTAGGACCAATAGAAGGCGGAAGACCAAGAACCTGCTGAAGAAGCGGAACGAAGTACGGCCGCAGCCGCGCAGCGCCTCCAGAACCAGCAGGGATAGCACCAGTAGCCCCAGCGGCACCTCCTGCTCCAACAGCGCCAACACCAGCGCCCTGAGAACCACCAGCGCTAGCAGCACCTCTAGCGCCAGCACCCCCAGCAGCTCCAGCTCCAGCAGCTCCAACTCCAGCAGGACCACTAGCTCCATTACCGTCATTAGCTCCAGCACCAGGAGCACCTCCAGGCCCAGTAGCTTTAGTACCTCCAACACTGCCAGCAGCTCCAGCAGTACCTCCGGTAGGACCAATTCCAGCAGCCCCAGCAGCACCCCCAGTCCTAGCAGCTCCAGTACCGCCAGTACGAGCATCTCCAGCACCATCAGCAACAGTAGTGCCACCAGCTCCAGCAGCACGGCTCCAGCGCCGGGCAAACCACTCGCGCAGCTCGTGCGGAGAGAGTAGCTCACGCCTCGACGAAGCACCACCAGAGGCCACAAGAGCAGACCCAGCACCCCCAGGCTCCGCACCCCCAAGCTCCGTACCCCCAGGCTCAGCACCCCCAAACTCCGCACCTTCAGGCTCAGCATCCCCAAACTCTGCACCCCCAGACTCAGCACCCCCAGTCTCAGCACCCCCTGGCTTCGCACCCCTAGGCTCAGCACCCCCAGACCTGGCACCCGCAGGCTCAGCACCCCTAGCAGCACCAGAGTCAACAGCACCTGCTCCAGCAGCACGGCTCCAGCGCCGGGCAAACCACTCGCGCAGCTCCTGCGGAGAGAGTAGCTCCCGCCTCGACGAAGCACCGCCAGAGGCCACAAGAGCAGACCCAGCACCCCCAGGCTCCGCACCCCCAGGCTCCATACCCCCAGGCTCGGCACCCCCAGGCTCCGCACCTTCAGGCTCAGCACCCCCAAACTCTGCACCCCCAGACTCAGCACCCCCAGTCTGAGCACCCCCAGGCTCCGCACCCCTAGGCTCAGCACCCCCAGACCTGGCACCCGCAGGCTCAGCACCCCTAGCAGCACCAGAGTCAACAGCTACCTCGACATGCTCGACTGGGTCTACCTGGGACACACCTGACGCGGCACGACCCTGAGGGGGGAGAGGGTCTACCGGGGGAGGACCTGGCGCAAGGAAGAGCGGCGGCGGGGGGAGGGGCGCAGTGCGGTAGGGGAAGAGACGGTAATAAGGCACCGACTCGTCAAAGGTGACGTCCTGGGAGGACAGAACGTGGCGCGAGGTGGGGTGGTAAAACTGCCAACCAGGCGCGTCAAGGGGGAAGCCAAGGAAGACGCAGGGAACAGCACGGGGGGATAGCTTGTCCGCAGACAAGTCGCGGACAAACGCCCGAGATCCCCAGACCCGAAACGCAGACGCATCGCCAACCTTCCTGGTCCACCACAAGGTGGGGGAGGTTTTTGGCAAGGAGACCCAGGGCTGAAGGTTGAGCTGATGCGCTACGTACTGAACCCCAAACGGCCACAGAAAATGGGGAGCAGCCGCATGGATCATGGACGTACGAGCGACGTCCATGACCATGCCAATGCGGCGCTCAGCAATCCCACTTTGCTATGGAGAGGCCGGAAGCGTGAGGGTCTGGCGGATGCCCTGTGCTCGACAGAAGGCTCCCAGACGGGCAGAGGAAAACTCCTCGCCTCTGTCAGAGTGCAGACGCAGAACAGGAAAGTCCGAGCCGAAACTCTCTCTGAGCTAGAGACGAGCTGCGCGGATCCGAGCGATCAACACCTCAGTGACGTCACCCTTGCTGCGCAAGGGGAACACTGTGGTGTAACGCGAGTATTTGTCAACCACCAACAGGAAGTAAGGCTCGTGACCCTGGCCACGGACACGGGCGGGGCCCCACACGTCCATGTGGAGAGTCTGCAGCGGAGCCACTGTCGGAGGAAACTCGGAGGAGTGAGGGGCGGCGCGCTGCCGCCCCTCGACGCAGGGAACGCAGGTAGGGACAGG